GTTGCATGACTCATGTGTTTCACGGACACGGACACACATGAGTCATGCAACGAAGAACATGGCTGATTTTGACGAATATTCGACACGTTATTCTCCGACTTCACTTTGACTCGTGGTCCATATTCATGGGTAAGATCTACTGTATTTTTTAAGTAAATCAATGCGTCGACACTGTTTCTTTTATGAATATTGATACGAGACGTGTGCGTACGGCGTTTAGTTTTTTATGGTTCTGAAGAAGGCCAAGTAAGGCACACGAAACGTCAACGACTGTATACTATTCGTGAACGTATTAAATATAATTTTAACATCTTGTATAAATGCTCGAAACGTGGCCGTTTTAAATTATATTTAGCTTCTGCTTAGTCGAGCGAAATTATTCTGTTTATTTATTGTATTAAGTACGTCTGTATACTGTCGAAGGTATCGCGATTACTGCAGCCGTCAGTAATCTTCATGGACGACGCGGAAAAGCCGTTTGTGAAGAAAGTAGCGAAAACAGATAAGACCGATCCGAAACGTTTGAGAAAAGATTTACCAAAACTGGTGAAGAATATCACGGGTGAAGACAGAGTTTTGTTTATCGGGACATCTACGAAGCCTTGGGATGGTGATCCAAAGCTCTTATATCAGACTTACGACAAAGTCATATATATTCCTAGACCGGATTACGGCACCGTGTCTTTTATATGGAAAGATTTGTTGTACAAAGTGAGTTGTACAAATGTCGCTTGAAATCGTCTTTTACGACGTGCTATTTAAAGAAAATTTATCATCTTTAATTAATATATTAATTCATATATCAATCATTTGACAATACGTGCCCACGTTTGATTTTTTACACTTATTTTTTTAAATTATTGTTTCGTCAAATAAAGTTTATGCTAGTAACGAATAATTTATGTTTACACATCAAAAATCTTGTTTTTCTAGTATTCGGGCATTAGTCGACAATTTGATACGTCAGCAATGGCCAAAGCGTGCGACGGTTTCACGATAGGAACTATTTTAGCAGCGATCAATGAGGTTGATAATCTGATCTGAATTACAAATATCAACGTTATCAGTGCTTACAATATATTATCTTAAATTTAACTTTCCTTCGTGTATTACGATACAGATAATGACTACAAAGCGTATGGTACAATTACGAACTCATCCTTTGACGCACGTGGAATTGGTGAATGCGTTGAGTTTCAAGGATCCAGTGTATCGCGAAGAGGAAGATGCGTTTCTAGGTTCGTGAACACACGTGATACGTGTAGCGCATGGGATAGCAAGTGCCTATAGACTTTTAGCAGGCTTAAATTTGGAATTTAATGTTACAGCCTGGTTTTCCAAAACGCCAACGTGTCGACGGAAGCAAAGAGCTTTGGAGTTGGAACTAGAAAAGTTGAACGAAGCAAACGAGTCGCAGAAAAAGAAAAAAGGAGGGAAATAATGGATACGGTATAAAGCTCTCCCATGTAAAAGAATCTACATGTATTTTATACGATATATTATCGATTATAGCCTTAAAGAACGTCATAATACATACGAAAAGTCAGTGAGGTAATAGGAATAAATAAAGAATTTCAGCATGCTCTACTTTTGTTTCTTTCTAATCTTGTTCATATAACTTGCAGATTTTCTGCTGTCTGAAATAGCAAACGTAATATTTTATATGCGAAGCGATACGTGCTTCGTGCATAAAAAATTATAAATTTATACAGTAATTATTTAAATATATAAAGTATAATATTAAGAATTTGATTCTTTATATTTTACTATTATCACGTTTACTATTAGTATTTACTTAATATTCTACATATCAAAGATACGTAGAAAATGTAAAATAAAAATATGCAGATTTTTTGTTTATTGAAATCGGATATGAGATTTATTGCTCATTTCGTACGCCACACTGTCATATGATTAGTCATGAAACATCCATCTATCTGACGAATTAAATCGCACACATGATCGAACACATGATCGATCGTTGTGTCTTTATGTCACAGGTCAAAGAGTCATCAGACTATTACACGCCATTTGAAATTACGCATTTTTTTGAAATAATAGACAAGACACTTACATCAATTAATCTACAAATACACATATATATCTATAAAACAAATTTTTTTTATATATGTATAAAAAATATATATTATTTTTTTATAAAACGGATAGTGTAATTCTCCGCGAGAGAGAGACGTGCACTATCAATAAATTGTTTATGGAACAAACATTGTTTTTTCTATAAAGCGCAAGCAACGATTGTCTTTCTATATAGACCATTTTTTTGATTCTTTATACGTCAGTGATTTTTTATTTATATATTATTAACATTCTTTTATTTACTGTATAACAATTATAATAATTTTTGGAATAATAAAATTTTTAATATTTTTGGATCACGACTCGCCCGTGTGACGCGGCGTGTGACTTCATTCCCGTAATCGATTCCACGTGATACATTGCGTGACGGAGCACGCGAGACTGCATGCCGAATACGCGATTATCTCGATAGCATGCATCGTCTCCGTCGCGTCGCCGTCGCGGCACGGCATTTCCCTCTGTCGAGTGTCGATATCAAAATCAACGTCGAGTTTAGATTAGAGCAACTGCAACTCGTATCGTCGTCGTATCGTCACTTACAAAGTGGCATCTGCGGTGCTAAACAGGATGCCTCCTGCTTGCCTTTGGACGGTACCACAAAGGTCTCGTTAAAAGCGGCGTTAAATCCGACGATTAGTTATATCTCGAGCACTTTCTTCGCGGTAGACGCGTTGTTATTTGACTATCGTTTTAGTCGAGACTATTGTTATTTTTACAGAAAATTATTGTAATTTGTACGCTGCACAACAAAATTTTATTTTGCCTTTTCTAGCGATGATAAATTCTTCCGCGGGATAACCCTTTAATTTAAACTTAAAAAAAAACAATGATTCTACCTCCTCGTGCTGCATTAATCCATTGCTTATATTAATCTTACGTTATCTTTTTCCAACTATAAAAAAATAAAATATAGGTCTTTTACGTACCTATTTGAATAAATAACACGTGCATATTTCAGTGTTTTGATGATACTATTTCTTAACACGTATTTAACAGAGAACTTTTGGATAGAAATATGATTATATTATTAATAATAAACCTTCAATACTGCAATACATGTACAGGGTGATTCAGAAATATAATTTGTACAAACTTTGGGGGTGATATATTTTGGGGGTAATATATTTTTTCTTTTGAATTATTTGTTCTTTTGATAAGCAGAAATAAATGTGTGGAAATAAATAAATTTAACCTTGGATTTTAATATAATATGATTTGAATTAATATAAATTTTAATACGAATACATTTAAATGTAATTATCTTAAAGCATATCTCTCCAAATAAAAATAATCTTAATTATACAAATAATTAGTCTTAATTATTTTACAAAATTATACAAAATATATTATAATATTTATGATTATTATTTTACTATTGTTTCTTGATTATAGAGTTTTGCCTTTTTCTATTTTTCAAAAAGTTGTTATCTAAATTACCTGAATTTTCATCATACGTCTACATATATATATATATATATATATATATATATATGTATATATTTGTCTATCCCTAATGAGTGATTAAAATCAACCTCTATATATAGAAAAGGAGGCGACCTTGTAATTAATATGTATTACGTATTACAAGATGATGGTCCTTGTGAGATGTATTAAAAATCTTTTTTATAGAAAATTATTATTTTTTCTTTTTATATAGTAATATTACAAATTTCTGTACACGAACGAAATTACTCTCAGACAAAATCGCTTTTATCTTTAAATACAAGGATGTGTCAGATTTCAAGAAATTAAGAAGTAAAAAAAGCATCATTGCTGAAGAGTATTATTGAATGTGTAAATGAAAAGTTGTATATGGGGCATTCCATGCCAAATCGACCTGATGGGTTTGACTCTAGACCTCGGATTTGATCGACGATTTTTTATGTTATTATTCCAGCTCTACCATGCACTCAGATTTATTTTAAGATTTTATTTTATAAAATTGATTTAGTTATAATTTTTTTAACCGACATATCGATGGCCACAATTTAAAAATCTGAAAAAATTCTCAAAAATCCTGTGTCAGATATCAAAATTTTTAACCTTTGACCCAAAGTGGACCGGCGTTTGCTTCTTATTTTTTCGAGTTTTTTTCAAAAAAAAAATATTGAAAAAAATTAGAAGCAGACGTCAGTTCACTGTAGGCTGTTGCTTGAACATTTTTATATACAACACAGGATTTTTGAGAATTTTTCCAGATTTTTAAGTTGTGGCCATCGATATATCGGTTTAAAAAATTCTAACTAAACAAAATTTTATAAAAAAAAAAAAAATCTAAAAAAAGTCTAAATACATTTTAGAGTTGGAACACGAACATAAAAAATCGGCGACCAAATCCGGCGAGAGGTCGAGAGTTAAACCTAAGTCGATTTGGCATGGAATGCCCCGCATATGTAAACATAAATTGTTAAATTCTTAAAACACAAAGGATTGAACTACAACTTGTATGATTAATAAAAAAAATCGAAATTTTATAGAATAAGCGTGAAATTTTTCTTATCGTTTTGTCATGCCTAATATCGTTATATTTGAATTTAAGTGAAACTGACACAGTCTATTATATCAATCGTTCAATACTTTACATGAATCATTTTTATATATGCTCGCGAAATCATACGAATGTATACTTATCACTTCCACAATATTTATGCAACGCAGACCTTGCGACGATAAGAAATTTACTTACATTTTATTTACATGATATTAAATTTAATGTCGAGTAAAATGTATCAAAGGTTTGTTTTTTTTTTCTATTTTTAACGAAATCATTACATAAATTCGTGGAATTACGAATAGATTACATAGAATAGATTACATAGAAATGACCGTAATTTTAATCACAAATTCGTCAACTAAACTGTTTTAAAACTTTTCTTAACTTCTTTCCTGAAATTTCGAGGTAGTATAATACCTTCCAAACTGTAAGCGATTGAAAATAAAAAACTTCATGAAAGTTCCTATAGAACTTTCTACATACCGATGTTTTATACCGCACATATCTTTGATATACACGTAAGGCGTACATGCAAATTCTGTAGTCGGAATAATAACGTAGAATTTAGAAGACTAAAAAAAAATGTTTCTCTGCTATAAAAGAAAATATTGGCTTGTTTTTGGAAAAATCAAAATTAAAGTACTTATAGTCAACTACGAGCCGAATGCACGGCACGTCCGTGCGTTACAGCGTTGACGTCTTATGATGAGAGAGAGAGAGAGAAAGAGATTCTTAAATATTAATTATCGAATATTCCTTGCACCCCTTTCCTCAGGTTTTCTTCGGTCGCTTTCGAAACGTGATCACGGACTGTATACGTTCATCGAATCTAGTTATTAGAATTAAAAGGATCTCGCTCGTGTGTCTTGACAAAGGTAAAAGGTAGAACAAAGGCCACGAATCGAGCAAACAGTGGATGTCAACGTTAAAAGTTTATTTCCATCTCAAATAATATCTACATACTACGTTTGCTCGATTATTGGCCTTTGTGTTTTTTTCCTAGTTACTAGAATCTCGAGTACCGATATACTACTATTAAATGGTATCAACACACACTTACACGCACACCTGTGCGAAACGCACATATTCAACGCTATAAGCTATAATGCACAAACGCGTACATTTGATGACTCGATCGTATGTATATGCTTGTATAAGTATATCTATATTGAACGTTTCCGATATCGTTATATCGACCAAGTGGAAAAATATTCCAGAGACACTTCTATTTAAATGATTACAGAGATTTCGGATCTTGAAATCAATTAACGTACGTCACAACGTACGTGTTATATAAATCTGTGTTTCTCTCAACTCTCGTGTGTTCCTTGAAAACTGTTGAAAATCCAACTTAACCATCCGTGTTTACATCCGCGTTAATTCACGAATCCCGAATCTCGAATCGGACAACGACGATCGGCTAACGGAATCGATTTACTTATTTCGTAGCAGCGTGACGCAACATATGCAACATTTCGTTAAAAAGTGTGCAGACATATAAGATTGACGAAAAACATACGATTAGTTATAACGTATTAATGAGTTTCTATAATTTCAATAGACACACATCATATATGTCAGACACAAACGTATCTTATTATTCCTTTTTTGAAGGGCGATTATCTCTCCGAACGAAGATCAGTACATCTATAATTATCGATTCTCTACTACGCTATTCCCTATATTTTACGCGCGCGCGCGCGCGCGCGCGCGACTATCGTATTAGCAGCCGCTATACATTTTAATAATAATATTAATAGCTGGAAGCTGGAACGCATAAAATCATTGCGCATCGTCGACAACGATCGATTCTTTCCACTTGACGTGTTTCAAAACGGTGGTCGGTGACTACGCCGCGCCGGTAACGCTATCATCCCCCCGATAACGCGGTCGGCGAAACGAAAGAACGTAAAAGAGTTGCGACGCTGCGGCATGCGGCATGCGGCATGTGACAAACGCGTGCTCACGCGAATGCCGCGATCTCGCACCAGACGCACCACGCCACCACGCACGGCACGCACCCCGCCGCGTGGACGCGCGTCAGCCGTCAAGTAAAGTGGCTAGCGGCGGACGACGGCGGGCGACGGCGGGCGACGGCGGGTGACGGCGGGTGTCGGCGCCGTCGGCGGGTCAGCCGAAACACGATCCTGCTCGTGACGGAAAATCATAGACAGGACGTCGTCGTCGTCGCACACGCGCGCGCGGATGCGGCACACCGCACACCGGTGACCAGGCACCGGGCGGTGGGCGCGCATGCGTTCGCCGGAGTCGCGCTCCGATTGGTCGTCGCCACATGGTCTGATGTCAGACCACGGAGACTGTGCGATTCAATAATAAGATGCTGGTGAGGTAGATGCCAGTCAGTCCTCAGTTTGATCGCCCGACTTCCCGGTTGTCTCTCTGGAGAGCGAGAGAGAGAGCGAGAGAGAGCCACTCGCGTCACCCTCGGCGTGGAAGACAGCTCCGCGCGGTCATTCGAAAGACCGCAACGACTAAAGCTCAACGAGCAACGCCAGTCCTTCGTTCCGCTCCAACTTGACTTTTCCCGGGATCCGGGATCGTGCTCGTCCACGACGTCCACCAGACGAGACGAGACGAGACGAGAGGAGACCGTTCAGCCAGGTGAGTTTCCGCGCGACCGCGCGACCACGCGCGATCGATATCGGAGTATTCGGACTTTCGGACATTCGGACATTCGGAGTACGACGTTGTGCGACTAGGACGCGTTCGTATCCGTTAACCGCTTACCGGCCAACCGACGTACCGACGTACCGAAGAAAGAACCGCTGCGAGCGAACCGCCGTCGCACGACTCGCAATACTTGGCGAACGTAAGATATACCGCGGATATGTATATATCAGACCCATTTGAGAGAGATATCCTGCGTGTAAAAAGGTTTTGGATCAATGAAAATGTACTTTTATACGTATCTCAAATTTATTTTTATAATCATCTTGGAAACATTTTCTAAAGAAAATATGAAAAATCCTTTCCCACGTATGTTTTCCACAAGGTTTACAAAATCGTGTAAACACTCCTTCAGAAATCCTCCGAATTTAAAGAATTAAATACTACGTGAAAAGAGTATCTCAAATTAACAAATACATATATGTATGTTATACAAGAATAGATTGCGTATCTCTTTCAGGAGTGTCAGAGTCATATGAATCTCTTATATCGACTCTACCGTAATGCGTTGCATGACATGAGTGAGACGCATAGGTACGGCAGATACGGGAAGATGCTAATGACTGGATAAGCATCATGTACGCACGTATATGTAATACATGTAAATAGAGGCAACGAAACGTAAAGTGACTAAATCTTCGAAGCGTAAAAGAGAGAAACGAAAGTTTTCGAGGTAACAAACTGCACCAGGCCACAGACTGCGCTATACAAGCTACGAGCAGTACGAGCTACGAGTCTACAGGTATATACGGCTATACGAATTTCTAACGGAACGATCTAGCGCACTATAGTGCGAAGAGCGAGGAGCGAAACAAACACGCGTTCAGTTTTACGCGAGTCACGAGAGCGCCACAGTATTTATGTGAATGGTAAACAGTAGCGAATATTCGCGCTTCGTCGCGTGTATTTGTAGAAAGAAATCCATCCTCGGACGTTTCGTTTCTTATATACTTGACTTGAAGATTCAAAATACTTGTGAACATTATCGAAATAGACGACCGCGACGTTATGTTTGTGTTTGTATTGCCGATTGCGTCACAATGTATATAGTTCTAACAAGTATGATGTCAAACTGTACCTACGAACTTGCGCGTGCGAACTCACTAACAGTAGGTGACTCTTATAGACACTCGTCGTATGACGAATAGCGAAAGCCTGATATGCGAACACACGCGCAGAAAAAAGTATCCAACTAAAAACTCAAGCTTCACTAGCTCGGCAGGAACGATAAAGCTATAGAGTTTCGAGCGAAAATTTTTCTCTTTTATTTTGGCCGTGCAAGTACGTAACAAAATTTTTTTCTTCCTTTATTCATTGTCAGTTATGAAACGTACGTTTTATCAAAGATCTTGATTAAAATCGAGAGATTGCATTACATTTTCTTTTACACTATACACTATATAATTAATATTTACTATTGCACTACTTTTCTCTCGTTCCAAGAATACACGTACTGTGATATTTCTCAATTACTAATTACAATCGCACGCACCTGTCGCGACGGCGTGGGTGTAAGCGGTGCTGAACGTGCGTCTCTAATGAATTAATGCGACGGGATAAGGAAGCGCAAGAATTGACCTCTGCCTGCATGCGCGATGACTTAAAAATCCGTCATTTACAATATGTTAACGCGGACTTGTAAAAGAGCTCATTTGGTGACATTAAAGCTGCTGTTCCGATTATTCCGATATTGAGACACGCTAGGAACATAATTATTAGTATACTTGATTGTCTTTATGAAATATTCAAATATGTATATAATATATACATACAATAGATTTTTGTATATCGTCTCTGTCGATTTTTCGCTAAATAATGTATGTATGTACATGTACAATATGGCACATCTATCGATAAACAATGCCTTCGAGTATGTCAAAACATAATATTTTCGTAACACGTTCTTAATACACATTTGAAAAGAACTAAAGAATCTGATAATACGTTCGTAATACTGGATTGAGATACGACGTAAGATAACGTCGTGTCGTGTCGTGTCGTATCTTCTACAACGCGCTATACTGAGAAAAAAAATATTTAGTCCGTTACGTGCAGCTAAACATTTTACGTAGTTTGACTAAACATTAGTTGAATTAATTAATTCTTGATTAAAAAATTTGGATGCGGTTGACACGAATGTACTATATCTTTTTTAGTGCAACTTAATACGTGTTGAAACAACTAATGTTTAGTTAACTAACCAACATGTTCAGTTGCACGTATCGGACTAAAAATTTTTTCGGATTAACAAATTTTTAACAAATATTTGTATTTTGCGTCTGCAAATAGACAGCATTATTTTATGTCATTTTATGGAATAGACATGTGCGAGGAAACTCATGTGAATCAGAATAACGTCAAATTAATGTCAAGTACAATGCAAGTGCGATGAAGAGACAACACTCATCACCAGTTTGTTATCATCATCCGTACTGTTTTGCACGCAAGTAAAGTGCACTTCAATGCTCCATCAAATAGGCACGTACTTGCACTTGAGTGCGCGATCTTGAATACTTGAAAATGCAGTATTTAAATATACTTACACATAATTAAGAAAGACAGAGAGTCACCAGGATTATAACAGCTCGGTCTAGCTTAGGGCTTAGGGCTTTTGGCTTACGGTTACGCGCGCATCGCTAGTCGTGCGAGTTTTGCGATAATGCGATAACGGGATAACGCACACTCGACTTTCCTACTTGAACTTAAATCTATTTTGAGGCTCTCCGCACAAGATTATTCCGTATAACACGTTTCGTTACCGATTTCTTTGTGCGTAATCTAAGTCTAAAAATTTACATATGGCTTATAAGTTCATGGCCAATACTTGACGCAACGTGTCACACGAGCGTTAACGAGCGTGTGTTCTTGTGCTGCAGACACTGTCGCGCACACGCGAACGAAACGAACATAATTTTTTTTGCTTTTTTTGTTACTTTTTTGTTGTCTTAGCCACAATTTTACTTCTTTAGTTGACTCGATAAAAATAGTGATGGCTGTGTCAACTTGGGTTTATACGTGGTACACAGCTACAGGGGAAAAAATGTCGAGCGATAAAATCTGAAAGATGTGATCTATCGAGATTTTCATTCACGTTGTAAAGTTTAAGTGTTGCGTTGGCGCAGAATAGCTATAAGAGTACAGTTTTGACGCGGTTAAGAATGGAACAAGAAAATCGGATTTACTCTTAGAAGACGACAAGATTACAAAGACGTACGCTATTGAGATATTTGTTGAACGTAATGTTTTACGGCGTTGTGCTATAGCTCTCAGGGTGGTTGGAAGATGATTTTTCTGAATCAAAGAATATTGCGATCAACTTATTGGCAATGGAACAACTACGTAGCAACAAACGAGAGCATTAGAGAAATATGTTTTTACTTTTTATATTTAGATTTTCTTTTTATGACTGTGCCAACTATTACGTTTCAGTCGATACAGCCACTCTTTTTATCGACGCGGCTAAAGTGATTAAAAATCGTAAATAAAAGACACGCAACAAAGCCAAAAATTTATGTCTATGTCTACGTCTATGTATTTTGTTCAACCGTGTGTTGTGTGCCACACAATAGTTGTGCCAACTTAATAACCAGCTTGAAATTCCATGACGCAACGATTTTTTTTCCGACAACGTCATTACAACGACTCTATGACTACGTTTACACGACCACGCGACGGTTCATAACCCGGTTTAGTAACTACCATATACTATCTGATTCAAAATTTTTCTTTTTTTTTTATCATAATAATTACGTAGAGTATAAAATAATCAGTAATTTTTTTTTAAGAATATTCTCCATTTTACGTCGCATGATAATGTGGATAGATCCAATCTTATCACCGCACCAGTTCGATGCAATACGTATAGAAAAAACGTTGGATTGACTTTACTCAACGCTTTTACAAACAGTCTCATGTAACGAGAAATAGCTGTATGACGTTTTGGGGCGACCGCACAAGTACGATATGAGAAATATATCTGCAAAAGTTGTCGAAAAACGGACTTGCGATCGAATATCAAGGGGTTTTTACGACGTAAAAACGTACGTACGCGTGACATTTGCTGGTTCCTGAAACTCCATGTTGTGTCGACAGTAACACGTTCCGGATTATGTGATTGATGAAACGAATATCCTAATCGAATATATCGTAACCGAATATCGTGCCGCGGGTCGCGGGTTACGGTCGGGTATACGCGATAACTCCTCTTATCAGGATAGTTCGGAACGGCACGTTTAAGACAAATTTTCGTAAATGTCTGATATTTTGCTATCTCTTGCTCTCGAGATACGTCTCTCGCGATTTGTCTTGTATAATTTCATATAAAAGTAATAAAAAAGGTAATATTATCGAAAAATAAATTATTTGTGAAATATGTCGAAATATATGTTGAAATAAAATATAACGTATTTCTCTCGTGCGAAGTATATATGACGTTGCGTTATTTGAAAATGAAATAGGTCATTATCGTAGCACGGTATCTTCAATTAATTAGCTAGAAATGACGTGAGTTGAATGAATGATCGTTCGTGCAATAATACGACGTACGTACCTGGATCTCGAATTTGGAGAAAGATAATTGACAGATTTTTCAAGAAAGAGCGACGATCCTGCAAACATTCGTCAAGCAAAGTTGATTTATCTAGAAACTCTATTGAGATTACTCAATTAAGTATGTTTAATGTCAATTGAAGGTAATCGCGTGTAGTGTACGCGCTCGTGGACCGAGCGCGTTCAAAGAGACGGTTAAACGAGATTCCAGAGCGTTAAGATTTCAACGTAACGGATAAGCGTAAATGATTACTAATTTATTCCTGGGGTTGGAATGGCCCTTTGTAAGTTTCTCTCGAAACATCGACAACAACATTTTGTAAACTCTACGACATTAAAAGTCAAATTGATTGATTTGAACGTCTTTTTTTTGAACCTGAGAAAAATTGATTAAAATAGTGAGAAATGGATATTTTCTAAAAAAAATGTTTTTTCCTTAAGTAAAAGAATATTTTTATTTAAAGCTATACTCGCGCATTTCTTGGAAAAAAAAAACTGCAAAAAATATTGAAAAAAGATGTATCGTTTGTTCGGTTTGTGTTTAAATATATGCTCTAGAGTATCCTTCAAATGTGCCTCTTTCTTATACGTGTAGATCAACTATAGATGTGTTTCGACAAACGTAAAAACTCGAGTTGGTTTTATCTTTGCAGATAGAGATTCGTACGGAGTAGAAAAGAGTTGGATAACGATTAACGATCCTCCGTCGGCAAGATGCCTGCTCAATTTGAAAGTGTCAACAGTCCCGTGACGCGGGAGTCCGCGATCGGAAATGGAGTGCCGTATTCCGTCGATAGTGACATCGTCATTACGGGCATATCAGGTACGACGTGTCAGTCGCGCGAATGGCCACAGCACGGCTGGCTGCATGATCGTTATGGGAGCGTAACGCGCCGTGAACAAATAACGTTTTTTTCCAGGCCGTCTGCCAGAGTCGTCCAATATCGAGGAGTTTAAGGAGAATCTGATGAAAGAAATGGACATGGTCACTGGTGACGATCGCCGTTGGTCAGCGGACGCCCACGGGATACCGCACAGGTCTGCCAAGCTCAAGGACCTCAGCAACTTCGACGCCTCTTTTTTCGGGGTACATCCCAAGCAGGCACACGCAATGGACCCGCAGCTTCGCATGATGTTAGAAGTCACGTACGAGGCGATAGTCGACGCTGGCATCAATCCCTCGACCGTGAGAGGATCGCGTACCGGGGTGTTCATCGGTGTCTCTTGTTCGGAAACGGATGACTTTTATATGAGAGATATGGATACCATAAATGGTTCGTCCATTATGAAAAATAATACCGAATGTCTCCTGCTCACAGTCAATTCAAGTATTTGTACGTTTTCTACCTACCGCGAGGCAAGATATTCGCTGAATCTAACGATCTTTCCTAAAGATAAGAAAATGAATATAATTATATATATGAATAGCAAATTATTCGCACGTAAAATTGTGCATCCATTATGTGTGCGCATATATATATATATATATATATATATATACGTGCGAATAATTTGCTATTCATATTTTGCTATTTGTCATAAATATCTGTTATATATGGTATACGCGAGACAAGTTATACACGATATATCTGCTGACAATGAGAATAAACCGAGAAACTTGCGCGCATCTGCTTGCAGGATACGGATTGCTCGGGTGTTCGAAATCGATGTTCGCCAACAGAGTCTCCTTCTGTTTCGACTTCAGCGGACCTAGTTACGCGGTGGACACGGCTTGTTCCTCGGCCTTGTACAGCATGCATCAGGCAGTGGCCGCGATGCGCAACGGCGAGTGCGATGCCGCGATCGTCGGTGGATTGAATCTCGTATTAAGACCGGCGACCTCGCTTCAATTTCATAAACTGAATATGCTGGCCCAGGATGGCAAGTGCAAAGCGTTCGACGCTTCAGGTGACGGTTACGTGAGGGCCGAGGCGGTGGTGGGGATATATTTGCAAAAGGCGAAGGATGCGCGCAGAGTATACGCCACGGTGATTCACACGAAAACAAACACCGACGGCTACAAATCTCAGGGTGTCACGTATCCCAATGGTGAAATGCAGAATCGATTGATGCGCGAGGTCTACAGCGAAGCGGGAATTAATCCCGCAGACGTGGTTTACGTGGAGGCCCATGGTACCGGTACCAAAGTAGGTGATCCAGAGGAAATCAATTCCATCGACGAACTGTTCTGCAAAAATAGGAAGACTCCTTTGCTGATTGGCTCGGTCAAATCCAACATGGGTCACTCGGAGCCGGCCAGTGGATTGTGCTCGATCGCCAAAGTGCTAGTCGCGATGGAAGCGGGCGTGATACCCGCGAATTTGCACTTTGATACTCCAAATCCGAACATTCCTGCCTTAAACGAGGGGCGCATTCGAGTGGTCGACAAGGCCACACCGTGGAACGGTGGTCTCGTAGGCGTCAACTCGTTCGGCTTCGGCGGCGCAAACGCGCATGTCGTTCTGCGCAGCAATCCAAAACCAAAATTGTCACCATTATTAAACATCGCCGAATTGTCGCCCAAATTGGTCGCTGTGTCAGGTCGAACGGAAGAAGCTGTGCACACCTTGCTGGCGAAGGCGAAAGAGCATCGTAAAGACGACGAATTTCTTTCTCTGTTACACATAATGCACAACAACGACATCCCCGGTCACAAGATTCGCGGCTACGAGATACTCGGCGTCGATGGTACGCGGGAAATGGCCGAGGTAGCGAGCTATAACGAGAGGCGCCCCATTTGGTTCATATTTTCCGGCATGGGCACGCAATGGCCAGGCATGGGTCGTCAATTGTTCGGCATTGAAACTTTTCAACGTAGTTTGCGACGATGCGCGGATGCATTGGCGCCCCACGACATCGACCTTATGAATATCATCATGAACGCTACGAACGAAACGTACGAGAACGTGATGGATGCCTTCGTGTCTATTGCGGCTATGCAGGTCGCCCTCGTGGACGTTTTAACGTCGATAGGCATACATCCGGACGGCATAATCGGACACTCCGTTGGAGAATTGGGTTGTGCTTATGCCGACGGCGCATTTACCGCGGAGCAGACTGTTTTAGCGGCTTACAGTAGAGGCAAAGCGATTATAGACTCCAAGTTGGAACCAGGCGCCATGGCGGCAGTTGGTTTGAGCTGGGAGGAGGCCAAAAAAATGTGCCCGCCCGATATCACTCCAGCTTGTCACAACTCCACCGACTCGATCACTATTTCCGGTCCGCGTGAGTCTATACGCAAATTCGTACCGGTGCTGAAGAGCAAAGATATCTTCGTCAAGTTGGTCAACAGTTCCGGCTTCTCTTTCCACAGTAAATACATCGCCCCGGCCGGGCCTAGGCTACGCGCTTCGCTCGAGAAAATTATCCCGAGTCCAAAGCAGAGGTCGGCCAGATGGATCTCCAGCTCCGTCCCCGAGGCTGCATGGGGCAGTCCGCTCGCGCAGCTTAGCTCCGCCGCGTATCACGTCAACAATTTGTTGTCGCCTGTGCTCTTTCAGGAGGCGATCGCGCATGTCCCAGAGAACGCGATAACGATCGAGATCGCGCCGCACTGCTTGCTACAGGCAATCTTGCGCAGATCGTTACCACCAACGGTGACCAATATCGGCCTCCACAAGCGGGACCATTCGGACAATCTGGCCTTTCTGCTGTCCAACGTGGGCAAGCTGTATATGGCCGGTGCGCAACCTGACGTTTCCAAATTGTATCCGCCGATGAGTTGGCCCGTTGGTCGCGGAACACCGATGATCGGACCCCTGGTCAGGTGGGATCATACTACCGCGTGGGACGTGGCTGTTTTCAAACGGACATCGGACAGCTCGGGAGAGTGCGTCGTCCAAATTGATCTGTCAAAAGAAACAGACGCGTATCTAGCGGGGCACCAGATAGACGGACGAGTCCTTTTCCCAGCCACTGGCTATATTTTATTGGTGTGGAAAACTTTGGCGAAACTGCGCGGCGTCGAGTTTGAACGATTGCCGGTAGTGTTCGAGAACGTGCGGTTTCAGCGAGCCACTATTATGCCGAAGGAGGGAACGGTGAAATTCTCGATAACTATTTTCAAGGGAACGGGCGATTTTGAGATCTGCGAGACCGACGCGATTGTCGTCAGCGGAAACGTCCGCGTGTCCGAGACTATCGAGAAGCATCAGCTGAAACTGCCGCCACCATCAGTACCGCCTACCACGGAGGAGACTTTGCCGTTAAATACCAAAGACATTTACAAGGAACTGAAGCTGCGCGGTTACGAGTATCGCGATATCTTCCAAGGAATCAAATCTTGCGACAACTACGGCGTTGCCGGCGAACTTTACTGGTTCGATCAATGGGTTCCGTACATAGACACTATGCTTCAGTTAAGCATAGTGTCCACCAGCCACAAGCTAATGTATTTACCGTCGCGTCTCCAGTACGCCGCGATCGACCCCGTTCTTCACAAACGACTGGTGGAAGAATTACCGGAAGATGGTGGTTTACCAGTGTATCATTACAAGAACATCGATGTAATTAAATCGGGTGGCGTCGAGCTCAGAGGATTGAAATCTTCCTTGGCGCCTCGTCGACAGCAGACTCAAGCCGATCCAAAATACGAACGCTACACTTTCGTACCCTATGAAAATTCACACAGTCTGATAGAGGATCCAATGAGAGGAAAAGTGCACGCGCTCACTGTACTCTTGCAAATTATGTGCGAAAACTTGATGGCATTGAAATTGAAGACCGTGGAAGTTGCAGGCGAACGAGCTGCCGAAGCTCTTTTGGCGCCGCTTATTCTCGACATTTTCCACGGGGAACTGGGCGCGCCTATCGTAAGTGTTTTTAACGGCAGAATTTTAATAAATTGTTTCGCTCAAGGTGGAATATTTTTCCATCCAAAATTCTTAGCGTCGCGTATACGCGGAGTGTGGCAACAACGTGAAAAATCAATATCTTTTGTTTGACAGACGACTGTTCCATCACTCAACTATCTATTCAACACATATTACACTTGATTAAATTACATTGTCACAATGTGTTAAGAATTGGAAAGAAGCTTTAGAAACAAATGATTAGAAGGGAGAAGTTTGTGCCATTCCCATATGTTAATGCCATTTGAAACAACGTATTTTGTTTTACTTAAACTGTTTACTCGTTTCTTGTACATATATTTGTATTATATATATACAAATTTTAAGAAGCATGTCAACTTACAAATGAAAAACGAGGCATGTCACGATCGATCACGCGACACGTATAGTTTATTTCTATTTGTACGTGCTTTTTTTGCTCTTCTTCTTCAGTATTTAAAATTATCATAAAATTGCTTTGTTTGTCGCCAGATTGATTTAAAAGTGGTCGCAGTTTCTGCCGACACGTACACGGCGAGTTTGAGCCAAATGAACGTGAACGCTGACATCGTAACGCAAGACGTGAATAAAGCACCACCCGCTCAGGATGTGCACTTTGTCATAGCGGCGGACGTTCTGTCCAATCAATCTTATACCGTTCTCAAAAACTTGGTAGCTGCCTTAAAACCTGGTTGTTTCGTGCTTCTGGAGGAGACGGCTGCGCAACTGAATTTGAAGACCGCGTTGAAGGAAACGGATTTAACATTGGCCGGTAAACAAATCGATCCCACGGGAAAGACTTACTTGTTGCTGAAGAAGCGGCAGAAAAGCAGCAGGGAACCGACGGTAATACAAATCACAGAGAAATCACTCTCCTGGCTGGAAGATGTAAAAGCAGCACTGAAGAAATCTGACGGCGAAGATGATCAAGAAGTGCTTCTTGTATCTCAAGGCGAAGGAACGCTTGGTAATATTACAGAAAAAATTATTTCAAAGTTTCTTAAACTTTCTTTAACTGCCCTGTATGAGGAACAGAAGAAATTTCTCGTTTTTTTTTTTATTTGTAGGCTTGGTCGGACTCATGACTTGTATACGACGCGAGACAGGCGGTGCAAATGCGCGTTATATCTTTATCCAAGACAAGAACGCTCCCAAGTTTGGTTTATCCGTGCGGTCTTACGTCGAACAGTTGGACAAAGGATTAATGGCTAATGTGCTAAAAGGAGGACAATGGGGCTGTTATCGACACTTGCCATTGGATCAACCGAGCGACGTGTCTTCCCTACAAGTGGAGCACGCCTATGTAAACACATTGACAAGAGGAGACCTCAGCAGTTTGAGATGGATCGAAGGACCGTTAAGTTACTACCGTTCTGACACGTTTCCCAATATGAAATTTTGCAGCGTATACTATGCTCCATTAAACTTTAGGTAAGTTGTCAATGAGTATTGTTTTATTGATATACATGATACTTTAGATAACGAAGACGTGACAAATAGATATATATATAAATTATATGGACGACAGGGATATCATGTTGGCGAGTGGCAAATTACCACCGGACGCCTTGCCAAATAATATGGCTACGGAAGAATGTATATTGGGGCTTGAATTTTCCGGAAGAGACACCGACGGTCGTCGTGTGATGGGCATAGTCGAAGCTAAAGGGTTGGCGACCACTGTGGTCGCGGATCTTGATTTCCTTTGGGAGGTACCCGACAAGTGGACGTTGGAACAGGCGGCGACGATACCTGTCGCTTACGCGACTAGTTACTACGCTCTGTTTATACGAGGTCGATTGAAAGCAGGCGAAAGCGTGTTAATCCACGCTGGTACAGGCGGCGTCGGTCAAGCAGCGATCGCCATTGCTCTGCACGCTGGTTGTACCGTCTTTACTACCGTCGGCACGCTGGATAAGAGAGAATATCTGAAGAAAATATTTCCACAGTTGACCGACAGGCACATCGGCAATTCCCGAGACACCAGTTTCGAACAGCTAATACGTGCCGAGACTCAGGGACGTGGGGTCGACGTCGTGCTGAATTCACTGGCAGAGGAGAAATTGCAAGCTGGCATTCGGTGCCTGGCGTTCGGTGGCCGTTTCCTTGAGATCGGCAAGTACGATCTGTCGAACGACAGCCGCGTAGGGATGTCAATGTTTTTGAAGAATACGTCTTTCCACGGTATATTGTTGGACGCGCTGTTCGGAGAAGACAACGCGGTGAAAAAGGAATTGGTGAACCACGTTTCGGAGGGAATCAAGAATGGCGCGATACGTCCGCTTCAATCGACCGTGTTTTCGGAGCAACAGCTCGAGCAGGGATTTAGATTCATGGCAACGGGCAAGCATATCGGCAAAGTACTAGTGAAGATCCGTGATGAGGAACCGACGAAGAAGCGTGTATTAGCAACGCCGAAGACAGTGGCCGCGATCCCACGTACTTACATAAATCCGGAGAAGTCGTACGTCCTGGTCGGCGGTCTCGGTGGGTTTGGGTTAGAATTGGCCACGTGGATGATCGCCCGCGGCGCCAAATTCATCGTTCTCGTGTCGCGCTCAGGCATACGCACCGGTTACCAGGCATTGTGCGCGCGTCGCTGGCGCGAAAGCGGCGTAAAAGTCGTCGTCTTCACGGAGGATGTTACGACATTCGCGGGTGCTGAGCGCTTAATCCAAGATAGCAACCGGCTGGCTCCGGTAGGCGGTATATTCAATCTGGCAGCTGTGCTACGCGATGCTCTGATTGAAAACTTGGAAGAGGCCGATTTCAAAACGGTCATTTTGCCGAAAGTCAATGTTACAAAGAATTTAGATGCGGTATCGAGAAAGCTCTGCCCATCGTTGGATTACTTTGTGGTATTCTCGTCCGTGTCGTGCGGTCGCGGCAATATGGGTCAAACCAACTACGGTCTCGCAAATTCGACCATGGAGAGACTGATGGAAGAGAGGCAGGCTAATGGTTTACCCGGTCTCGCCATTCAATGGGGTGCCATCGGAGATGTTGGCTTAATTATAGGTAATATATATGTATGAATCGAGTTTTGTAAACACTCGAATCTTGACTTGATCACGCCTACGTTTATGCCCCTTGAATAAACACGCGTAAATAAAACACGAATATTCAAGTATTATGAATGCGATAAGTATGCACGACGTTTGCATACCATTGTTCTAGTCCATTGTTGTATGAATGCTTTGTACATTTCACGATGACAGTTTTTCTTGAGATATTGTTATTGTTTTTCAGAAACGATGGGAGATAACGATACCGAAGTGGGCGGTACTCTACCGCAACACATGTCGAGTTGTCTCGCGACGATGGATATATTCCTTCAACAACCGCATCCGGTGTTGGCTTCCTCGGTGTTGGCTGAAAAACATAAAGCCGATGACGGCAACAAGGCTGATCTCATCGCAACCATTGCCAATATCCTAGGCATTAAAGATGCCACGTCGATTAATCCCAATAATAACTTGGCCGATTTGGGTATGGACTCGCTGATGGGCACGGAAATCAAACAGACTCTCGAGAGAAACTACGACATTCTATTGTCGGCTCAAGAGATCCGTAATTTAACCTTTGCCAAATTGCAAGAATTATCTTCGACCAGTGGTGAGATAACGAAAGAGCAGCAACCTCTCGCCGCGGATACGACCACTATTACCGCAGACTCAAACGTTTCGATCAACATGCTGTTGATGCAGTGGCCGAGCAACGAATTGCTGCCTAAAGAGGCGCTCGTTCGCTTGAAAACAAAGACGTCCAACGGACCGACGTTATTCGTCGTTCACGGTATCGAGGGTCTCGTTAAATCGCTAGAATATGTGGCCAGCGAACTCGAAAGGCCGTTATGGGGTCTGCAGAGTATTGAGCAGGCGCCTCACGAAACGATACCGGAGTTGGCTGAATTCTATGTGAATACCATTAGAAAAGTTCAGAAGAAAGGACCATATCACTTGGCAGCATACTCGTATGGAACTTGCGTCGCCATCGAGATGACTTTGCAATTGGAAGCCGCTGGAGAAAAGGTAGTTCTGAGTCTGATCGATGGTTCGTTGGCATTCGTGCGACAGCAATGTGATATGATTGGCAAACTAGATGAGATGAAAAAAATTACTTCCGAAGGCTGTATGAAAGCGTTGGCATATTTCAGCATACAATTTAATAAGAAAATAAATTTCATTCAAGTAAGTATCACACAAACCTATCCTTTCTATTCATTTTCTTGTACCTTGAAATAAGGAAATGGGGAAAAGCACGAGTACGGAGTAGAATATCTAAAGCACACGTTCGAGTCTTGATAGAATGTAAACAAAAGTGAACGTATTACAACATGACGGGTGTTTATCGTTTACGTAAATAATAATTGTTTTTTATCTCTTAAAAATTATGCAATGACGTATATTGTCGTATATCATAATACGTCAATGAACTTGTAGCACATTTTCAAAATCTTGAACAGTCCTTGGCAACTTTATTAACAATAGATCACGTTATTATCATAAATCAAGACGATCTGAGCAACAATACGTGAGATATACCATATACGTTAATCAACTGATTTAGATTCACGTTGCGATGCTTTTGTTTCAGGCGTATGACGTTTTGAAGCAGAGTAAATCAGATGTGGAGATGTTTGACAAGATGATAGAAGTGATAGGCGATACGCCGTTTACACAGGACGATCTAAAAATTGCCGGATATCTTTTATTCAAAAAATTGGCAGCTGCTGTATTTTATAATCCGAATAAAAAGATCAAGGGACCGGTCACACTGATTAAAGCTGCAGAAAACTTTCTGCATTTAAAAAAGGATTATGATTTATCAAATGTAAGAAAATTCTTTGTTTCTTGTTTTATTAAATTTCTTCAATGTTGTTAAATTTTCAATGTAGCTTTTCTTTTTATAGTTAGTTTGTTATAGGGTTGTAAATGACGTGTAAATTAATACGTGTAAATTAGAAGTTAGATGATCACACACACGCACACGCGCGCACACACACACGCGCACACTTTAATGTTTTACGTTAATTTTTAATTTAATTTTAATCAAATATATTTGTCGAGTATCGTAACATAATAGCTACATCCAAAAATAGAAAATTGATGAATTAAAAATTTTAAAATATTAATATATCTAGGATAGAGTATCTACAACGTTATCGCGCACGTGCGCATCTAAAAATAAAACGTAGAACTTTAATTTTATCCGTATGTTTAGTAGACATGAACTTTATTTCAAGCTGATAAATTTTATTTTAATCTCGTCACTCGTCGTATAGATTTTAGTAGCTTATATTTTAACATTGCATATATTCTTTACCCTTTTTTCTTTTCAGATTTGCACACAACCCATAAGAATAGAAGAGGTGTCCGGTAATCATAGGACAATGTTGCTAGGAGAAAGTGCAAAGAAGGTCGCAAGTCTCTTGCGAGCGTAGCTTGCGGAAGAAAAAAGTTTTATTATATTTGAGAATGCGTACGTGGCATATATCCCGTGTTGCTGATAAAACTTAATATTTTCCATAATATAGAGAAGTTGCAAAAACATTGTACATATATATCTTATATATAAATTGCAATATTGCAAATACGGTATACTATATTGTTCCAATGTAACTGAAAAGTTATATGCTGTATAGATTGACGTGATTAGTACGTTGCAAGATTCTTTTCGTATATAATTCATCATACTTGAATATTATAGGTTTAAAATTGCGTTTGTAAGCAGTTGAATCGTACAAAATGAGAAAGACGCTAGGATAAAACGAAATCAGCTTCTTAATATGATAACTGTACGTTACCCTCTATTTAAATAAATAACAAAAATTTTTGTAATTTTTAAGTTTAAGATCTTGTTTTTTAGGATATTATGTATAAGAATGTGATTCCCAAAGTGGGCAAATTAAATATTTATATTATTTAATTTGTATTAATGGTGAATATAGCATTACTATTTATTTATATGTATATTAATAATTATCCTATATATTAAAAAAATGATTTTTATTACTTTCTTCCTTTTAATTAATATATATAGGTAAGCTTTTAATTAAAGCCTTTCATTATAAGTAGAATGATGAAATTGTAAGTGACGATAAAATATATCAACTCGTACGTACAATATCTAACGTGTATTGATTAAAATCTTTTTATAGTTTTTATTATAAATTCTATCATTACGATATTTTTTATACACATTATTATAACTGTCGTAAGTTTTTCTCATATGTAACACATATGTAATACATCGTATTTTATTCCCATTAATAATTACAAGTTCAATACGACAAAAAACGTATTTTTCAATTTCAAATTTCACTTTAAAATGACAACCAGCACAAGAACCTCAGAAATATCTAAGAAATGTTTCATTCGATAAATTGAAATATCTTATAAATATTTCAAAATGTTTTCGCAACAGCTCTGAGACATATCTGGAATAGCAAAATGTCCGCGATTCTTGCACTTGAAACTTGGATTTGTTCCGGTCTTGGCACTTGGACTTGTTCCGGTCACAACCTATCCTGGATCGAAAAGCGTGCAGGCAAGCGCTATGCGTTTTTAAAACTGTTTTACATATGTGTAAAGCGCTTCATCTAACCTATCCCGATCGAAAAGCAAATTAAAATTATAATTTAAATTTTCAGCGCCACGTATATCGTGGCGCCGATTGGTTCTTCTGCAGGCTCTCGAGAGTTATATTTAATTTAAATTTTCAGCGCCACGTATATCGTTACCTAGGGAGTTATATTTAATTTAAACTTTAAGCGCCGCGTATCGCGGCGTCGATTGGTTGTTCTGCCTGCAGGCCCCTAGGGAGTTAGACCTAATTTAATCTTTAAGCGCCAAGTATCGTGGCGCCGAATTAAATTTTAAGCGTTACGTATCGTGGCGTCGATTAATTGTTCTGCCTGCAGGCCCCTAGAGAGTTGGATCTAATTTAATCTTTAAGCGCCAAGTATCGCGGCGCCGAATTATATTTTAAATGCCACGTATCGTGGCGTCGATTGGTTGTTCTGCCTGCAGGCCCCTAGGGAGTTAGATATAATTTAATCTTTAAGCGCCAAGTATCGTGGCGCCGAATTAAATTTTAAATAGTTCACGCATACACTTTCCACGCGAACCGAGGTTCACGCACACCCCCCCGTGCTTTCGGAGGAGGTGCGGTAGTCCCGAAATATTAATGTTTATGTATTTAATTAAAAGTTAAACTATAAGTTGCTGTGCATATGTTCACATTTCTGCATCTTAGGGATATTTTGTCGTGAGATATTTTGCCAGGGGATATTTTGTCGCGGGATATTTTGCCATGGGATATTTTGTCGCGGGATATTTTGTCGCATGGGATATTTTGTCGCATGGGATATTTTGTCGCGGGATATTTTGTCGCATGGGATATTTTGTCGCGGGATGTTATGTCCGGGATATTTAGACGTGACACCCGTGGCGTCGATTGGTTGTTCTGCCTGCAGGCCCCTAGGGAGTTAGATCTAATTTAATCTTTAAGCGCCAAGTATCGTGGCGCCGAATTAAATTTTAAATAGTTCACGCATACACTTTCCACGCGAACCGAGGTTCACGCACACCCCCCCGTGCTTTCGGAGGAGGTGCGGTAGTCCC